GCGAATCCACCCACACCATCACAGGAAACTACACACTGAACGGGCCCCTGAATTAATTAATTAACTTATTTTGTGGTACTGGGGTTCCAACTCAAGGGCCTCATGCTTGCTAGGCAGGTGCTCTACCACTTAAACAACTCCCTCAGTCTGGACTCCTAAATTTTGTTGGAGTTTATCAGACACTCGTTAGTAGCAGTATGATAGAACCAGTCAAGGCCTATGAAGTTGAGTCTGGCTTGTCACATAGTAGGGCGTTAGCTTTTATGTAGTGGAAACGTAGACATGAGAGAGTAGGACTTGTGACTGATCTCCACCCCTATACTGGTAACAAATGGCAGCAGTTTGTTCCATTAACACTTTTCTAACAGTATTCTAAAGGAAGTTATCTCCTCTGAAACTTTGAGCACATTACACATCAACCTCACATTTAGCAGCAGAAGCCAGATGCAGTGTCACAATCTCAGGTAGTCAGAAGGCAGAGGGAGGAGGATCAATGGAGTCCAGGGGGCCAGGGTTAGCCTGGGTAACACAGTATAGACCTCATCTCAAAACAAGGCAAGAGCTGATGTGGTGGTGCATGCCTGTAATCCTAGCACTTGGGAGGCTGAGGCAAGAGGATTCTGAGCTCCATGGCTGCCTGGGCTACACAGACATTAGTAGTAGAAACAGCACAGTGAACTGATCCAGCGGGCCGTTACCCACACCTAGTTCTTTATGTTTTGAATCCCTCCTCCTTTTCTTAAAGTCTATGTCCCCCACTATTTATCTCACAAATTCAAAACTAAGGTCTAAAGATCTGAACGTAATGGTTGGATCTTAGGGTCTAGTCAATTTCTCCCCTGGACTCACTCTAACTTTTTTTTTTTCATTTTTCTTTTATTATTCATATGTGCATACAAGGCTTGGTTCATTTCTCCCCCCTGCCCCCACCCCCTCCCTTGCCACCCACTCTGCCCCCTCCCTCTCCCCCCACCCCTCAATACCCAGCAGAAACTATTTTGCCCTTATTTCTAATTTTGTTGTAGAGAGAGTATAAGCAATAACAGGAAGGAACAAGGGTTTTTGCTGGTTGAGATAAGAATAGCTTATACAGGGCATTGACTCACATTGATTTCCTGTGCGTGGGTGTTACCTTCTAGGTTAATTCTTTTTGATCTCACCTTTTCTCTAGTTCCTGGTCCCCTTTTCCTATTGGCCTCAGTTGCTTTAAGGTATCTGCTTTAGTTTCTCTGCATTAAGGGCAACAAATGCTAGCTAGTTTTTTAGGTGTCTTACCTATCCTCACCCCTCCCTTGTGTGCTCTCGCTTTTATCATGTGCTTAGTCCAATCCCATTGTTGTGTTTGCCCTTGATCTAATGTCCACATATGAGGGAGAACATACGATTTTTGGTCTTTTGGCCAGGCTAACCTCACTCAGAATGATGTTCTCCAATTCCATCCATTTACCAGCGAATGATAACATTTCATTCTTCATGGCTGCATAAAATTCCATTGTGTATAGATACCACATTTTCTTAATCCATTCGTCAGTGCTGGGGCATCTTGGCTGTTTCCATAACTTGGCTATTGTGAATAGTGCCGCAATAAACATGGATGTGCAGGTGCCTCTGGAGTAACAGTCTTTTGGGTATATCCCCAAGAGTGGTATTGCTGGATCAAATGGTAGATCATTGTCCAGCTTTTAAGTAGCCTCCAAATTTTTTTCCAGATGGTTGTACTAGTCTACATTCCCACCAACAGTGTAAGAGGGTTCCTTTTCCCCGCATCCTCGCCAACACCGTTGGTGTGGTGTTGCTGTGATGCTATTCTGAACAGGGGTGAGGTGGAATCTTAGCGTGGTTTTAATTTTGCATTTCCTTTATTGCTAGAGATGGTGAGCATTTTTTTCATGTGTTTTCTGGCCATTTGAATTTCTTCTTCTGAGAAAGTTCTGTTTAGTTCACTTGCCCATTTTCTTTATTGGTTCATTAGTTTTGGGAGAATTGTTTTTTAATTCCCTGTTTATTCTGGTATCAGTCTTGTCTGATGTATAGTTGGCAAATATTTTTCCCACTCTTGTGGGGTCTCTCTCAGTTTAGGACCATTTCTTTTGATGAACAGAAGCTTTTTAAGTTTTATGAGGCCCATTTATCTATGCTCTTAGTTGCTGTGCTGCTGGGTTTCATTGAGAAAGTTCTTACCTATACCTACTAACTCCAGAGTATTTCCTACCTTTCTTGTATCAACTTAAGAGTTTGGGTCTGATATTAAGATCCTTGATCCATTTGAGTTAATCTTTGTACGTAGGGGTGATATACATTCACCCTAACTTTTTAAGCAGCGGTCTGACCACACATTAACAAAGCTTCTGCTACTCTGCTTATGCGACTCCAGTTGGTCCCACCCCCCCGATGGATCCCACAGATGCCAAACCAGTTCAGACTTTGGAAGTGCAGAAGTCACCTCTGACCTAGGAGACATCCACGTGCCACCTTTAAACTTTTTCTCACTGAGTTTTGCCAGTTAAATTTTGGGAAGCTTTATGTCCTTATTTCTAGCAGGGCCACTGGCAAAACTTTTTCTGTGAAAGGCAGATATTTTAGGATTTGTTAGCCAGGAGGCACCTGAGGGTATTATACAGGCATGTAACAAAGGATAAAATTTCACAAAACCTCTATTCAACGAAGTTCAAACCATTACTAATTCTGTTTTGTTTTGGTTTATTTATTTTTTTTTTGAATCCACTATACCGACCTTCACTTGATTAGCATGGCAACTGGTGGTCATGCCTGCTAATCTAGCTAGTCAGGAGGCAGGATCAAGGAGGAGTTGGTTTAAAGCCAACCCTGCAATAGTTCCATGAGACCCTACCTTGCAAAAATCATCAAAGAAAAGGTCTGGTGGAAGTGGCTCAGGTGTAGGCTAAGTTCACATACCAATATGGAAAAAAAAAACTTCACATTAGGGTTTCAAGTTCATGATTCCCATTACGCAGAATTCAACTTCGAATTCCCACTGTCAATGTTGGTGTTATGGTATTTTATACTTCACTTTTAAAGATATAGATAATCCCATCATTAGAACATCTCAGTGTTGCATTACTTGCAGCTTGCAGTATGCTACACACTTGATGGTGAAGAGATTGAGTGTACTACAACATGGTCTCTATGGACAATCCTCATCTACCATTGTAACAAACAAGTAGCAACGACAGTAATTTTAGGATGAGTGTGATGACTGTGTTCCAATAAACTTCATTTGTAGAAACTTGAGTTTGAATTTCATAGCTTGGGCATCAGTGGCTATGCTTGTAATCCAAGCAACTCAGGAGATAGAGATTTAGGAGGATCGAAGTTTGAAACGGCAAGCTGGCAATACAGTTCTAGAGACCCATCCAACAGTACAACACAAAAAGCCTGGTGAAAATTGCTGTGAGAGAAGAGTGCCTGCCTAGCACGAACGAGGTCCTGAATTCAAACTCTCGGAATTGCCCAAAAAAAAAAAAACAAAAACAAAACTGAATTTTCATACATACTGTCATTTTCTTCACCTACAGAAATGGAAAAACTCTTTTCAGTCTGCCAGGACACACAAAAGGCAGAAACTAGCAGATGTAGCCTACAGCCACCCATATGCAGAAAAACAGATTTGCAGAACTGGGTCTCAGTGTGTGCCTACTGTCCCAGCTACCCAGGACAGCAAGAGAATAACTTAAGGACGAGTTCCAGGGCCCCCTGGGCAAAAATTACAGCCAGGTGTGCTGTAACACTTGCAATCCCAGCACTGGAGAGGATGAGGCAAGAGGATTGTTTATTTTGAAGCCAGCCTGAGTACTATAGTGAGTTAAGACTGGTGTGAGCACTAAAAGTGATAGCACTGAGACCAAATGCAGGCAAGAGGGAGAGTATAACAGGTCATCGCCACAACATGCCTCAATGCTGACATGGTCTAACTGAAAACTTGTAGGAAACAGTGGGGCAAGCATATCCCAGATTTTTACTGTTGTAGCGTGGTCCTATGTAGAGAGTATCTGGCTGGGTGCTAGTGGCCTCACGCCTATAATCCTAGCTACTTAGGAACAGAAACTAAGACTGCAGATCAAAGAACAGCCCAGGAAACAGTTTTCTTTGAGACCTATTCAAAAAAAAACCGTAAAAAAGATGGCTGGTTGGCGTGGCTCAAGTAGTAAGAGTGCCTGCCTAGCAAGTGTGAGCCCTGAGTTCAAATCTCAGTACTGCCCAAAAAGTTATTGTGGAGTATAAGGTAGGATAAAAACTGTATTTCCCCTTTTGGTGGACTAGGGTTTGAACTAGTGCTCCGCTTTTTTTAACTTACTTAATGTATACCAATCCGTAACGTGTCAGACATTCAGTAGGTGTGATCAAATGTGCCTTCACCAAACTATCTGAGTAAAAGAATGCTCAGAAACAAAACCTTCACAAATTTAGGATGTTTTATTTGCCACTATTACAAAATCTGAACTTTTAGACAGATTTCTTGACTGGTGGTTATAGCCATCAGCTTCGCTTCGACTTTACACCTGTCCCCTCGTCACCTGTCAGCTTTTCCAGAACTACTACCTTCACCAATGAAGCTCCATGAAGTTTTTTCCCACTAAAAAGAAAGAAAAAAGATTATACGATGTATCTTGAACTTAGGAGACAGAAATAAGGAATGCAGATCAAAGACAGCCCAGGAAACAGTTCTTGAGACCCTATCTCAAAAAAAACCCGTAACAAAGATGGCTGGTGGAGTGGCTCAAGTAGTAAGAGTGCCTGCCTAGCAAGTGTGAGGCCCTGAGTTCAAATCTCAGTACTGCCACAAAAAGTATCTGTGGAGTATAAGGTAGGATAAAAACTGTATTTCCCCCTTTTGGTGGGACTAGGGTTTGAACTCAGTGCTTCACGCTTTTTTTAACTACTTAATGTATAAAATCCGTAACGTGTCAGACATTCAGTAGGTGTGATCAAATGTGATTCACCAAACTATCTGATGTAAAAAGAATGCTCAGAAGCAAACCTTCACAAATAGGATGTTTTATTTGCCACTATTAAAAATCTGAACTTTTAGACAGATTCTTGGACTGGTGGTTCATAGCCATCAGCTCGTTCGACTTTAGCACCTGTCTCGTCACCTGTAGCTTTTCCAGAACTACTACCTTCACCATGAAGCTCCATGAGTTTTCCCACTAAAAAGAAAGAAAAAAAGATTATACGATGTATCTTGAAACAATGATCATCAATACTATATGGACAAAAGAGGGGAAAAAAAAAGGTCTAAAAAAAAAAAATCAGTTATTTGGTTCCACAATTTTCTTTCTCAGGAATTCTAGGATTTCTCACTTACATTCAAACTTGGGCTTCTTGAGCATTTTTACTTTTCTGACGAAGACATCATGAAGTGGATAAATAGACTGGCAAGCCTTTTCTATGTCTTTCCCAATGCTGTCTGGAATCCTGCAAACCATTAGCAATGATAAATTAGTGAAAAGAGAAAAAAAAACCCACAAAGGTCTGGTTTCTCTAAGTCATTTCCTTTAAATGCAAAGAAACCCACACAAAAAGCACCTACTATGGTACTCCATAAAACCCTAAATTAGGGTAACTATATTACTGTTCCTTTATGAGTAAGCACAGATTGTCTCAACTATACATACAACCATAGCCAAACTATTATCTAAGCCTTCTGAGCCTTATGCCTTTTCCATCACCCTCTTCATCTGTACACAGCATGGGAACATCAGAAAAATGTAACAGTTATCATCGGACATCATCTGGGACCGAAACATTTTCTCATCATGTATTCCCATATATTAATTGTGTAATCTATCTAGTTATTTTGTAACGAAGTTGCTTAACGTTTTCTGTCCATCAGAGTCTCACTGCTGTGAGATAGCTTCAACCAAAAAAAAAGATTGTCTCACTGAGCACTCAACACTTTCATTTAAAGGTCTAATTCCATCTTGTCTCATACCACCCCTCATCTGAGACACGATTAGATAAACACTTACAATTTATTAACCACTTCCTTCAGGTCATTTGTCTGCACCTCTCGGGTCATGATTTCCATCATCTTCTTCCGAATTTGGCGGACCTGCTGGTGCTGAGCATAAGAAGTCTTGCGTATTTGGTTATTGCGTTTTTTAGTAAAACCAACACAGAACAGACGAAGCAAATACCCATCGGTAGTCTTAACATCAACATGAGCTTCAATCATGGTCTAGAATGAAAAAGTAAATGTCAGAATTAACAGGTTTAGTATCAATTTTTACCTCTCAAGTTCTAATATACAACATAAAGTACCATTATATAAATATCTAGTTTACAGAATTAACCTCCTTCAAGTGAACTTACTAAGGATCCCCAAATTCCAGTCAATTTTGCTCTGGTTATTTTGGAGATTGGGCCTGGGCTGGCCAGAAATGAACTGATGTCAACATTTCAAGAAGCTAGGACTAAGCGCCATGAGCCACCAGTGCCAGCCCAAATTCTATCTTTTCAATTATACATGCGAAGTTCTTCTCAATATCTCCTGTCTCCTCTAATCCCACTATCATCTCAACTGTACCCACACCTACCAATTTACTACATATATTTTAAACCTTTAAGAGCCTGACCTCATTATTAAGAAAAGTGCAAATTAAGAGGAAAATAAATTCTAAGAGGATTCCTAAGACTGCTGTATGGCCATCTACACTTATGACTTCATCTTTAAAAAGAAAAAAAGCATTCCTAAACAGGCACTGTTATAGGACACTTATGTTCACAAACTAGAACTAAAATAACTAAAATCCATTAGTGACCATATTGCCTAAACTTTAATTTAAAAATCTTAAGCAGTGACAAAATGACTTGCTCTCTTCAGATTTTGTAACTCATGTATCTTTAGCTTTAAAAAAATGAAACATATCTAATCTCTAGCAATACAAAAAAGGAAAAGAACATACTAAAACAATAACAAGCAACTATTTCCAGAAATGCATAAAACCTTAGGGGAATGTCAGAAGCAAATGTAACGGTATAATCAGTAGTGTCATTTGGGACCGAAACATTTTGTCATCATTCATTCCCATATACAAATATCCTCAACTAGATAGTCAGCTTATAACTTCCTGACACGATACTGTTGCCTAGTGCTTTCCGTGTCAGGCACTATGCTAAGCACATTTATATGGGTCTTTTATTCACCTTCACAATTCAATGAACTGATTTCTTCTCTCCATTTTATAGACAAAGACTAAGCAAGCTTAAGTTACTTTCCAAGGAGAACACAAATGGGAACTGGATCCATAATCCTAACCCACAGTACAGACTCTGCATTACACTCTATTGCCAGACGAAATCAGAAGGCTAGCCTGAGCTGCGCTATAAATTCCCTACACCAAGGCTAGATTCTTAAGACAAAACTGCCTAACAAGTCAAAAATACTCTTGATGAAAACACAACATTAAATCTTGGATTCAATTTAATGTGTAAAATAGGACAATCATGGCTTGCTCACTGATGCAAGCTCAGGAATGGCCAACTCAGAGTTAGCATGTAATACTAGCAAGAAAACAATGAGGATTTAAAATGATATCTAAGTCTCCATTACACGGATGTGCTCCTCCTATCATTACATCCTTGGTCATGCACCCAGACCACTATGCACTCCAGTGCAGTTTTGATCTTACCTGCCATTTTTTGACCATGGAAACATTTTGTCACGAGTAAGATCATGCCATGGAAGTTAGTCAGGCAGTTTTTGCCCTGAACATCCCTCAGTAATTAGCTTGAATTTTCTAAATGCAACTTCATCATTCTGCAGATCAGCAAGACTCACTTCAAACACACGACCCTTGAGGCCATCAGATGCATTTCTACAAAAACAAGAATCAATGTTGTATTAATAGCAGGGTCCACACAAGCAAGTCAAGCCTACAAGAGCATGCCCAAGCACCAGTGGCTCACTTAATCCAGCTACTCTGCAATCCTAGCTACTTGGGGCACAGAGATCAGGAGGATCAAGGTTCCAAGTCAGCCAGGCAAATAGCTCATGAGACCCTATCCTAAAAATATCCAACACAGAAAAAGGAATGGGGAAGTGACTCAAACGGTAGAGTGCCTGCCTGGCAAGCATGAGGGCCTGAGTTCAAGACCCTAATACCACAAAAAAAAAAAAGTTAACAGTACAGATATAACCTGTTATTAAACCCATCTAGGCCTCAATGACTTATTGGCAGTGCCCACCTGTGCATTTTCATGGAAAATTCTAAATGTGCCTCCTTGGGTGTCTCCAAGTTTTGTATACCAAAAACAAGAACCAGACGCCAAACCTGCAACCATCGGGTTGACATTTCCCTCAAGTCCTCCACCACAGGAGGAATAGTAGACCAGATGCCTGCTACATTACACATGCCCCAACTCAAAACACAAGCTATACGATGCTCACTGGTTCCTTGAGTCCTCGTGACGAGCGTCTTTCCAATGTTCCTTATATTGAACATGGCCGGTGCTTTCACATCATACCAATCTTTCTTAGAAAATGGATCAACCCTGGATTTAAAAATTTAAAAAACGCCTTTAAGTTTCACTGCAAAGCACATAAATACTTTCTGCTAACACCAACTCCCGGGCAACCTGAACTAGAGCAGAATGCTTTCCTCGCAGTGGACCGAGAGGGCGCCCCGCGTCACTGTCCGGACCCCACGCCAGATTCTCCATCCCACTGTCCTCCGCTACAGCACCTCCAGTGCCCTCCATGGCGACCTTCTCTGGTTAAACCCTCTGGGCTCGCGAGTTCCCAGGTTCCACGGGCCACGCAAGACTCGGTAGCGGCGTCCTGCATGCACCCACGCCAGACAAGCTCTCGGAGTGGCCTCAAAAAGCAGGGAAACCCGCAAGCCCACAACGCGCGCACACACCAGCATCGAGTCGGCCGCGAATCTCGCGTCCGGACCCGGCATCCAGACACGGTCCGCGCAATCCGACCCGCATCCCCGCCAGATCCGGCCCGCACGGACTCCTAGAGCCCGCCGGCCGGTTCTAACAGACCCCAAAGAGCAGGTGACTTGCGAAAGTCGCCACTTACACTTTCTTCTTGGCTCCCTTTTTGCCGCCTTTTGTAAGGCGCTTGTTTCTTGCCGACCGCCATGGTGCCGCTCAGAGAGCCAAAAGGGCGGAAGTACAACTCGCGCGAGAACTTAGGCGTACGGGGCGGGGCGCGTGTATACGTGACTCTTGCTCTTTCGCCGTTCCGTCTTTAAGAATCGTCGCGATAATAGAGAGCAGCCCTGCGACTGGGTGCAGCTGCGCGACAGCGCCCTCGTGTGTGCGGAGGCCGCGCTCCTGGACACGTGGGCATCCACCTGGGGGGGTGCGAATTTCGCTTACCTGGTGGTTTCTGTCGCCCTTGACGGTGGGAAGTTTCTTCAGAAAGAGACGCTCGCTCAGCACCGTTCAAAGCTGCTTCTTCCCGAGAGCACAGGCTTTGAAATCAGACCGCAAGTTCAAGTTCAAATGCCACTTCAACAGTACTGAGGCCTAGTGACGCCGGCTAGCCCGTTCCCTCATATGCAAATGGGGTCAGTAACGCTAGCTCCCTCCTAGGGTTGTTAGTGGGAGTTAAGTATTCCGGGGATGCTAGTGATGTTCATTCTGCTTGCCGCTGTGGAAGCTGGTTAGCCTTAGGTATGGGGGTTTTGTGAACATTCATCAAGATGTAAGCTTATTTGTGTTGTGTGTTTTCCTACACGTCTGTTATACATTGGGGTTTTTCTGTTGGGTTTTTTTTTTTGTTGTTGTTTTGTTTTTTTTTGGAGGGACTTGGGTTTTGAACTCAGGATTTTGCGCTTGCAAAGCAGGCGCCCTACCGCTTGAGCCACACTTCCATTCCATTTTGCTCTGGTTGCTTTGGGGATGGGGTCGTCCAACTGTTTTGTCGGGCTGACCTTGAACTACGGTCTTCCAGATCTCAGCCTCCCAAGTAGCTAGGATTACAGACGTGAGCCATTGAGGGTGCCATTTTTTTTTTTTAAGTGAAGAGTGCACAGTGGGACACCCAGGGTTCCTTCCACCCCCAGCACCGCAAAATCAAAGTGGTGGGGGTAAAATCAACAGATTTTTCAATTTTTGTAACTACCCCCCCTCCAATTTTTTTTAACCATGGTGCTCTTGTTTATTTTCCTTTTTTTGTGGTTTTTTGACAGAGCCTCACTATGTAGCTCAGGCCAGCCTCAAACTCATGCTCCTCCTGCCTCAGCCTCCTCCTGAGTGCCGGGATTACAGACATTCACCACCACACCTTCTGACCTGTAAGGGTTTAACCAAGCACAGCCTGGTCAGATAGCTCAGGAGTGTAGCCTCTGGAATACTTCTGGTCTGTGCAGGTTTGGTACTCATCCAGTGGTTTGCTGAGTTCCTTCTCTAACTTCCCCTCTGACCAAAAAAGAAAAAACACCACCACCACCTGTGACCAACCGAGAAACCAATCTTACTCACAAGGCTCCCGGCAAGCTTTTAAATCTTATTTTTAAATATCATAAAGTTTAATTATGGTTCAGAAATGAATAATTTTCTTTGGAAAATATACATTGACTCTAATTTGGGAGGGACGAGGGTTTCTGCTAAATTGCCCTATTTGCTACTCAGAAAGTGACCAAAAAGTCCCACTTCCAGCCATTTCCACTGATATGAAGGGAACATATGCCACACTTACCTAGCAGGGAGGTGCCATGATCACAAAGGAGATTTTCCCAGGGTGAGATGTTTCCATTGTACTCCACAAGTGCTGACCCCTGTGATTTCCCCAAATGTGGAAAAGTTGACTGCATAATTTGTGACAGTGGGGGACTGCATTTGCAAAAAACATATCAAAAATTTTTTTTAAATGTGTGCCAAAAATGGATAAGAATACAAGAAAAAGAAAAGCTGTGACGGTAAGGACATGGGATAGGGCCTAAGAGAAAAATCTCAAAAGTACGCAAGGTGGCAACAAGGAACATACCACTTTTTCTTTTTTTGAGATGAGGTCTGATTATGTTGTCCAGGTAGTCTCAACCCCTGGGCTTAAATGGTCCTCCCACTTCCACTTCCCGAGCAGCTGGGAATACAGGCTCACTGCTGGCCCAGCTTCTGGCTGGAATTTGCAGTTCTTTTCAGTCATCTTTGTCTTGTGCTCCATGTTAAGGGTGCAAATGAACTTCATGTCATTGAAATTCCCATTTGTCCATAGGTGCTTCTCTGTGCAGTCTCCTCCATGACCTCATCTGTCAACTGATCTGTCCTTGGCAGCTGCACTCTCAGGCAATCCCTCCTGAACGGGGCCAGGTGACTTCATCAAAGCAGACAAAAGCATTCCCAATAACACTCTTAGGACCCGTGCCATTTAACTCCTCACCAAACTCTCTCGAGAAGCATGGTGCAATTGGTGGCACCTAGAGCCTCGTTCATCATGGCATCCAGAGAGATGCAGTGAGGCCCGCGTATCTTCCTTTTCTTCTTAAGCAATAAAATCGTCCCCGTTCTGATCGCTCATGTTGAAAGCCTCTTTGGAATCCCAAATCTGTGACTGGTCAGGCCTGGCAGACACGTTGAATGCCAAGGGCTCTTCTCAGTGGTCTTGATTTGCTGTTTTTGATCTACTTGGAGTGATTAACTCCCTGCACAGCCACAAGAATCCAGCACCTCAGTGAACTCTCACTACCACTGGTAAGCCTTAAATCTTAAAACCCCTTCCGTCCTAGCTTCCAGCCCCTACCTCCTCCTACCCAGACCCTTTAGGACCATCTTCCAAAATCTTTAGTCCCATTGTTGCGGGAAAATCACCAGACCAGCGAGAAACAAGACTCAAACCCAGGTGGATGGAGGAAAGGAAGGTTTATTTCACTAGTGGACCAGCACCTGGATATCTCCAAAATGGAGCAGGCCACTAGCTCAGGGTAGTTGAGGTTTTTATACTGAGAAAAGCAGCAGCAAGCAAGCAAGCAGGGAGTGCAGAAGCAGACATGCCAGTTAGCTGTTCAAGGTTACAATATATCACCGCAATTTCTGGTGGGATAGCTGGATACAGGGGCCCCGTCTTTGATCCTTTCCCCGGCTTTGATCTCTCTCTGGGTTTCCTTATCTTTCCCTCCTCTTATCCATCATAATCCCTTATGACCGTTTCGGGGAAGTCATCTAGGGGCAATCTTTGGTACTGTAATTTAACAGCATCCATCCGGTTGCAAATGAACCTGGCGAGGAGGTTTATCACACAAGGGCCTAGGAGCAGTAGGAAGAGAAGCACAGTGAGTGGGCCTGCCAGGGGGGCTACCCATGGGGCCCAGTTCCTCCACCCCATACTCCAAAATGTTTCCTGGTTTCTTGTCCTGATTTTTCTAGAACTGGCGAGCATTTTTCCCTCACTATCCCCGACTGTTTGCATAGAAGCAACATTCTTCCCCTAGAAACGCACAAATTCCCCCTTCTTCCACAGTAGTGAGGTCTAGGCCCCAGCTGTTTTGTAAGACCACGGTTGCTAGTTAGTCTAACTGATTCTGTAGGGTGACAATGCTCTGTTATACTAATCCTAAATCCTCACGGATTTGTTCAGATAGCCTGGCTATGCTGGTCCTTGTTGGAGACCGATGGCAGTAGCCCCTGTAGCCATGCTCTGGCCAGGGCGGACTCCCAGAAGTACCGGGAGGAGGATGGGGTCCCGCTGGAAAGCAGGTCTGGCCGTCAGTCTGTTGTTTTCAGGTACTGAGCAACTTCAGTCCCGGAAAGTATGTCCAGGTCCGGGACTAGGAAAACTAAGGCACGGTCCCCCCTGGATAACAGGTATGGATCCCGCTCTTGGCAGGCAAAGTAAGTTCCTTTGGGCATCTTGGCTCCTTTTACTAAATTAGTTCAGCTTTCCCCTTTGTCAAAGCATTTAGTTTCCCCAGTTATTTGGACAGCTGGGCCCGTGAGGCAGGTATTACGCTGAGTAAGTTGTCCAGGCCTAGCCTATGTATTTCTGATACGTTAGTTCAGGCCACCCCAGCATATGACACTTGGCTGGCCCTCAGACAAATCCAACAGTTCTCTACCTAGTTCAGGGTCTGCTTGCTGTATTAGTTGACGACTGCTGTTTGCTAGGGCCATCATCTTTAATGAGAGGGGTGTCAGGGTGTAACGGGGGTCGATTAGTCCTGTCCCAGGATGGAGGGAGATCTGCCCTTGCCCAGGGGGTCCAGAGAGTTGGCTTTACTGACTGGGAGTGATTTGCTGCTTTAATCTCAAAGTCTTAAGGGTCCTTTAAGAAGCTCGACTTTCCCAATTATGTTTGAGGAACCAGCCCACTCCAAAGACCCTAGCTCCCCATTGTCGGGGTTCACCTATTGTTAACTGGAAAAGGTCTTCCTTTTCCTTTGCCCTTGTTTCCTGGCTCGCTCCTCTTTTGTGGTAGTTGCTTGAGGATAGCCTCTAAATACGACACCTGGCCTTAGGGTGGTGGGCTCTAAGTGAGCTATTGCCAGAGCCTAGGCAGTACCTAAAGAAAACAACACAAGGGTCCGACAAAGCACAGGTGGTGAAGTTAATTAATGTTGTTCCCTCTTGTCCTTCCAAGAGTCTGACCTTCCATACTAGCTTATGGAGGATCCCAGTAGGGCCTGGAGGCCTCACTTGTGAGTCAGTCATAATGATCACAGTTGTCAGTAGGATTAGTAGGTCTGTCAGACACCTCATTGGAGCTTCCTCGGGTCAAGGTCGGTTTTAATGACTGGTCCAGGTTGGCTCGAGATCTCCACCCCCAGCCTGGATCCTCTGCTGGCTTGGCATGTGTGTGATGGATTCACGGCTTTAGTCCTGCAACCTTAAGGGCTGAAGGAGTGGTTAGAATGACTTGGTAAGGTCCCTCCCATCAGGGGTCTAGGCTCCCTCTAACTGGGGTTTTGACCCAAACCCAGTCCCCCAGGCTCCACAGGTGTAAAGGCTCAAGGGTCATGGAGGCCAGCTCTGGATGCCCTAGGTGTCGAGCAATCTCCCTAGAGGCGTGTACTAAGCCTCTTAGGAACTTGTGGAGGCCGATTTGTCCATACTCTCGAAGGTCTCCAGCCTGCCCAGGTATTAGTGGTGGCAGCCACCCATGTAAGATTTCAAAAGGGGAGAGGCCGCATTTCCTGGGTGTGCATCTTGAACAGGGCCAAGTAATACGTCTGGCCAGGGCAGCCTGTTTCTTGACATTGTTTTGCCAAGGCTGTCTTAATAGTTCTGTTAATCCTCTCCACTCGGCCTGATGATTGGGGATGATACCGGTGTGCAAGTCCCAGGTCAGGCCAACTGCACAAGATACTCCTTTGATCACCTGACTGACAAAAGGCAGGCCCAATTGTCTGACCCGATA